TGAGTGATGTCATTTGTACGCTCCAGGAGATGAGAACCAAGGGCTGGCCAGTGGGCCCCGGCGGCCCAAGCAGCACCTGTGAGGTTCGCAGCAGTCAGGCGGGGACATGCATCAAAAAAACCACCTTACAGAAGGCAAAAGCTGGCACAAGTGGGGGTTCCTGAGCGGCTGTTAAGCAGCTGAAGGGTGTTAAAGAGGTCGGGAGCCTCTTAAAATCACCTGCATGTGATGCCCTGTTCACATTGAGTTAGGGCGGAGTGCTCAGGAACTGGGGACAGGATGGGGAGCTTGGCTAGTGGGGAGCCCACAGCTGAAAAGGGGACCTGCGGGAGGCTGCGTGTGGAGCTTGTGTCTGCGGCCCTGCCCGTGTGTAGTGCAAAGGGCTGGCCTCTGTGCAGGGGCCTGCATGTCACACTGGTGGCTGTGAAAGCCACGTGTTGGGGTGACAGCAGTGAGTATGCCTGGGGGCGGAGGGACTATTCCCAAGTCAGAGTGAGTGCATCCTGGGGCGGCTGTGGGGCTGGCTTGTGACTAAGGCCACAGCCCAGAGGCCTGCTGGCTCCTTGCCATGACTGCAGATGCGAAAGTGACCAGAGTGGCCCTCAGCATGAGCAGGCAGGGCCTTGGGTGGGAAACTTGATGGATCACCTGCTGGTGCCAATAACCATCATGTCTTGCCCCTAGGTTGCTGGCCCTTCCTGGGCTTCTATACTGTTGTATTCCATCGTATATTCTTTATCCCTGTGGGTCACGGCTGCAGCAATGCAGATTCACCAAGGGAAACTTGTGTAACTGTGCAGCGAAAACCCTGAGGGATGGATGCAGGATAAATGAAGCCTGCTAGGCTCTTCTGCCACTGGCCTCTCTGGTTATGACCGGGGGCCATGGGGGGCCGTGGGCATATGCCTGATGGTAGGCAACTGGGTATGCATGAGTTTGCGTGAGTGGGCACACCGGAGCCTGGAGGCTGACCTAGGGTGGCATCAGACAGCGGGAAAGCCCAGAGCACTCCCAACAGCTACCTCTGGATCTCCACTCTGGTGTTTTCAGTGACTATCAGATTGCCTTTGTCTCTTCATATCATAATTATATGGAGGAGAAAGTAGCAAAACCTTCAATTATCAACGATGACAAGATAATGAAATGAAAGCAACCTGGATGATTTTAAAATCGTCAACATGTGAGACTTGAAAGATGAACAGAGACCGTGTTACCTAATCCCTCATTTCAAAGTCAAAAAACTGGAACCCAGAGGTTACTTGCTCGATATCCAGTTAATGTCTGTCTAATCAGTTCCTTAATAACTGAATAAGTCTATTTGTCTTGGGGCTTGGTCATAATTGTGTAGTAAGCTCCTAGTCATGATCATTTCCTCTTATGGTATTTTAACATGTATAATATTTTAAAACGGATTTCTGAATATTCTGGCAGATTGGAAGATTATGGGCTCATAATTGAGGTTAAAAGCTTTCTTGAACTTGCACTTCAAGTTTCGATTCAGCTTATTACTGAGTTTTTACAGATGAAGTCTGGTTACATAGGGTTAATGGAAAATGGGGGAAAGGTTTCAGCTTCTATAAAGGTATTTAGTGACTTCTCTTTGTATTGATTCACACTAAGTCACAGAGAGGTAGTGAACCTTTCATTTACTTACAGGATAAGTGAGCAGGCAATAAAGTTTTATTGAAGCACTTGAGTTGTTGATTCTGTAAGAGCAAAGTCTTGTCCATTAGTTCTGCTTCTCCGTGGTCTTCCCCTAACCAAGCATCATGCATCTCAAGCCTCAATGACCCCCACAGCCTTCAGGCTTCCTTCTCATGCCCCACAGAACTACAGCTGTTCTCTGCAGTTGACATGTGATGCAAATTTGGGGAAACAGCAAGATCAGAAAAGGAAGAGAGGAAAGAAAGAACAAGCACCATTTGACAAGCATGTGGGTGTTCGAGTATTGGGAGGGGATTTGAATCAGAGGGAGAAATGGAGTTGCTGTGGAAGAGGATTCTAGAATGACATGTAATGCAAAAAGGGAACATTGTCTAGTATGGTTATTCATGGTTATTCATGGGAATAATGGTATATTCCCATTTGTCATTTTTCCATTTGTCATTTTTATGGATAGTTCACGTGATTGTTTCTAGTGCTTGCTTGATGCCATCTCTTTGTAACAACTTTGAGAGACATGTCCTCATGGGATGCCAACTTTTATTGGGTTCTATCATCCAGTTGCTTTCTCAATACTTATATATAAGTATATACATATATATTTATATATGTATATACTTATGTACTTATATATTTCTAGAACAGTTCCTCTCTACAACCTCTGCTTCCTAGAATTGTTTACCCACTGTGCTTCTGGACACACCATTGACTCTGTAGGCTTGTTGCCACTTCTAAGGTGGAGAAATCGAAAGCAACTGCCTGATAGTGCAGTTTAAAATAAGTACTATCATATAGAAAAATAAAAGCATTTGGGGAAAATAGATCTGTGGGAGACAAAGGAAATGAGGAGACTGTGAACTGTTGCTACAATTAAACTGCTGATGCTAAATCTGTTTGAACTCAGAAAAAAATGAGATGAGGAATTTTTAAGTAATCATATGGCTCATTCTGAATGTGTGAGCTCAGGCATTTTGCTTAAAATACACCTTGATTAATTCTGAATCATTCTGTGTTAATCAGGTACTGCCTCATATTGTCTTCTTGGTTTCATGGCTCCAAAATCACAAAGTTGAGTTCAAATGCTGCCAAATAAAATGATGCCCGAGTGAAATGTGAACTTGGCTCGACCAGCCACTTAATCAAAGAACAAGGGTGTTTGAAATGCAATAGTTGGTTTGCAAAGAAAAGATGGATGAAATTTCAAAAGATGGATGGAATCTCAAGGTGGCATTCAGCTTAAAGTGGCTAAGATGCTGTAGTCCTTAATGGCAGTGATGTAAATGGGCTATGGGCCAACTGTGTTTTGGGGAGGCATAGAGTTATAGATAGCTAGGGGTTTCTGAGTAGACACTCCAATCTTGGGATAATGCCCTAGCAAAAGTATGCTAAGCAGATGAAGATATTGGTCACTGCTAAAGAGGATGCCCCATGGAGGAACACTGCCATATGGTGAAGAGTGTGATTCTGTCTTGGGTGACCAGGCAGGGTTTAATTCTCAGCCAGTGAATTCTACTTCTCACCAGCCATTTGGTTGATAAGTTCAGCTTGAGTAATGGAAGTTCACTTTTATATTCTGTTTGACACACCGTAGATGCTACTTGTGTGACAGGCAGGCAACTAGCGTGCTTGGAATCACACAGCTATTTCTCATGTGTTGAATAACAGGAGTTCATTCATTTCGTGATAAAACTGAGAATGACAGTTTTCAAGAAGCCCTAGGGCCTCCTCTGAGCATGAGCACAGAGTGGTAGGAGACAAGTCTTGTTCCACTACTGTTTAGTGAACGTGAGGACTACTGAGCTGGAACTCACTCTGTGAGATGCTTCAGCCCGGTCATTTCCCTGTTGGCGGTTATTTTTGTCAATGCCCATCTGCTCCCTGTAGAAGGGAAATATACAAAGCCCCAAACAGCAAATTTGGTTTGCCTGCTTCATTCAGAGACATCAGGGAGACAAACTGGAAAAGTTTGATATGCCACAGCTGCTGTGGGATAGCAGAGGCTGTGTAGTGGGTGTTGGCCGTGGTGGAGAGGGGCCCGTGGATGAAATTCAGCAGTAAGACGGCAAATGGAGCAGTGGAGGCCGGAACTGGCCAGGGAAATGGTGAAAGCTCTGGGGTTTGGCGACAGGAGTTTCGGTTTCTCTGACAAGTGTTTTCAGTGTTTTAAGGAGGATTCCAGTTCACTGGCTACCTGATGTGCTCTTTTTGAAATAGCTGTTTCCTACACTGAAGAACTTAAGAGTAGAAACAGTTTGTGTTTAAATTACAAATTTATGCTTCAACTGGAATACTCCAGTGATAGAAAGTTGAGCCTATCAGAAGCAAAAACCACTGTTTGTGTTTGCTTTTTTAAATGTATTTTTTTAAAACAAAGTAATTAATGCACATAACTTCAAAAGTCAAATACTACCTGACTTGTGAATTTAAACAATGCATGTCTTTAACTCTCTCCTTACTCCTCTTTGTTGATATTATCACCTTTTTTTTTTTTTCCTTTTTGGTCTTTGAAAACTCAAGAGTTTCACATAATAAGTACAAAGTTATTTATACTCCCCCCCCCACACACAGTCTTATATGCTACCTGTTAAGCTCAGTCTCTAAGAAACAGGAAACTAGCTTTCTTTGAGTTCTCCTGCCATCTCTGCCCTTCTAGAGTAGTTATATCGCCTTGTTGAGTTCATTGCTTCTCAGCAGTTACATCATCAGAGCTAGCTAAGTTTGATTTCCAGTTAAGTCCTTCTATAAGATGATCATTGTTCCTGTCGCTGATTTCATCAGTATCTCCTTCATGTTGTTGTTGGATCAACATCTAAGTACTTTTGCTAATTCATTTCAACACTAGGCTAGGCTAAAATGCTCTCTTCCATTTGTTCAAGTGCAGCCTATATTCTTGTTTTTCCTGGGGACTTTTTTTGGGGTGTCCCTTCCCTTTCTTTCCTGCCTTCTGTGCAGGTACCTCTCGCCTTCCCACATTACACTCCCCTTTGCTTCCTCTTCCCTTGGGCTCCACTTTCCAGGCTCCTCTTCAATAGTTAATTCTGTGATGTTCTTGAGAAGCCCTTATATGTGTCTTTTACATCAAGCAACTGACATTTGTTTTTAAAGATTTATTTATTTATGCATACAGAACTGGGGTACAGGCCAGAGGGGCAGGGACCATGAGAGGATTTATCAGAGACAGAGTAGGGAGCAGAGCAGACAGAACTGACGAAGTACACTGCTGAGGGGAGCAGCAGGCAGGTCAGGAGAGGTCTGCTGTGCCCTGTGGGTCACCTCCAGGGCAGGTGGGGATCGAACTCATGCGGACGTGTCTTTAGCTTCTTAGTGCTGCGCTTTAACCCGTTGCACCACCAGGGAGGGCCTGCAACTGACATTTTACTAAAATAAAAAAAAATTGACATTTTCATTGTTTGACAATTTTTGTTTATTTAGTCCTGTATTCATTGGGATGTGTTACTGGTTTTGTTTCAATGTGGCTTCCACCAGAGGTTAGATGGAAGGACAGCATCCAATCCTAGGGTTTATGCTATTCAATCTAGAAAGAGATTCAGAGCATAAAGACTCTGGTCTCCACACTAGTAGGTGCTCGTACATGCAACTCACTCAAGTCCGTGTACGGACTCGTGAGAGCACCACTGCTACCTGTACCTTTTCCCAGGAAAGGGGACCAACTCCACCTTCTTGAACGAGCCAGAAGCACGTTAACTATTTTCTTCTCTTTGACCTCCACATCCAATCGTTTTTTAATAGAAGATCTTATTTTTTTAAAGATTTACTTATTTATGTAGGAACTGGGGAAGGGCCAGAGGGTGTAGGGGCAGTAAGAAGATTCACCAGAGACAGAGCGGGGAGCAGAACAGGAAGATCAATGAAGATCACTGCTGAGGAGAGTAGCAGGCGTGTCAGGAGAGGTCTTCTGCGCCATATGGGTCACCCCCAGCGCAGGGATCAAACTCATTCAAGTGGCTGTGATTTAGCTTCAGCAGTACAGCGCTCCGACCCACTACGCCACAATTGTCTTACAAGCCTTTTTCCTCTTTATTTCTACCACTGCTCACCACCTCTCCCTTCCTCCTAGGCACCACTGCAAAAACATACCACTGTGTCCACTTTTTTCCACTCCAATCTGTTCTTTACACCAAAGCTATTTTATTATTGGTTTTCAATGCTGGATATGATTCCAAGGTACAGGATCACACCTCTCAGGTGCATATTCCACACACCTCCCCACCGCCATTATCCTTCAGCCCAATCCATTGGGCCCCCTTCACCCTTCTCTCCACTCTCTCTCCCGTAACCTTCAATCCATGGTCAGACTTCAGCTGCAGGAGATTATGCTAAACAACATAAGTCAGAGGGAATAAGTGCTTTGCCTTATACGTGGAATATGGAGAAACAAAGAACAACCAGAACTAAACCTGAGGATTATCAAGTCTCCCTTCATTGAGACCCCTTTAATTATCAAGTCTCCTCTGTAATTTGAAGCACTAAGTCGCAGTTCCTCTGAAAGTCTCCACTAAGTCTTCCCTTAGTCTCCACTAAGCCCCAGTTCATCTGCAAGCAGTCAAAAAATGCTCAACAAGCCCACAGCCTGCCTGCTTCTCTGCCTGGGCTGTTACATAACCTCTCTCCCTCTCGATTTCTACCCCCAACTATATTTACTGTTTTTGAACAGCATGATGAAGCACATTTTGTTTTTATACCTGTTTTTCAGGTCATCATCAGGTGACCTTTTCATTGAATCCTAGGTATTTTATGTCAGGATAGTTTATGGTCACATGGAGAAGAGATCAAGCTTGATGAAAAGCTCACTGGCAAGGCATGGAAATGGAAAGGATCCCAAGGAAAACAAATTGACTTCACACTTGTATGATTAAGGAAGAAATTAGCACGTGTCAGCAGAAGACAGAAGCTAGATTATCATACTGTCCTAAATCAAGGGCATTTGTTGAATCTGATTCTTTGTTTCAGTGAATTATTTGCTCAGACGGTCAACAGATTTCAGGCGATATGTTTTGAAATGTTAGGGGAGAAGGTAGGAGAAAAGAGAAATAGCTCAGTTTTTACATGAACCAGGCCTTCATGGGACTGGTACTATTTCTGTATAACGAGTAACACTAGAAGCTCTTTTGGGATGTTCTGCCTCAGTGGTTTTTATTATTGTGTAAGGAGACTATGAGGTGCTTTCTTTAATCCTAAGAGCTCCCATTAAGGTGAAAAGAATTTACTTTCATCATCATTTCCAAAAAAACCCATTTTCTTATATAAAAACTCTGGGTTTGTAAATGACTGTACTTCAATGGTTGCTAGAACAGTCACATTACAGATTAAAGAGAGGTGGGTCAGCTGGCCTGAGTGCAGAATGATCTTTTAGGATGGTGGTTCTCAAGCTCTGCTCCCAGGTAGTGGATGATTCACAAGTTAGCCTGCCTCAATTATCACCTTGAGAGGAGGGGGAGGGAGGAGGCGTATAATCCATGTACTTGGATATAGTTCTATTTAAAATTCTCCATTAAAATTTCTTAAATCCTTGCCAACCATTGCTTCTTATCTGCAATTAAATCTAGCAGATGACAAGGCATCAATAATAATTGAATAAAGAACCCATGATGTAAATGGAAAAACTCTGGGTGGCTTCATGTGCTTTTGGCTGTGATCTGATCTATATACATATACTTAATTCACATTTTCCATTAGTTGAATGTTCCTATTTTCCATGATGAAATTAAATGTGACAGCATTGCATGATAGTTTTACAAAAAGCTCCTTGCCTTGCAGATGCTTCACCACCTGAATAAATCTGAGACTTTCTTCTGTACAGCACATTTTCTATGAAATAGTGTCTTTTGTTCCAGACAGCTAACTGAAAAGTGAACCTTTGGTAGGCGACATGTTCATAGTAATAAAGAAATATAATCACCTGCTTGTACACTCTAGTCCCCAGAACTTTCCTTTACATGGTGGCATTTAAGTTCTAACAACATCTCTCTCTGTGTTATGTAGGGCGTCTGATTTATTTCTACTCTCTAGATGAAGAAACCAGAGCACAGAGAATTTAACTGGATTTGTCAAGCTCACACGGTTGGTAAGTGCCAGAGGTAAGATTGGACTTTTGCTTTTCATTATTTCATTTTGCTGTAAGAGAAAATAAAGAACAATTGCCCACATGCTGAATAACAAACTCAGGAAATGAGTTTCAGCCGAGCCCTGAAATTTTGAGATCCTGTTAGCACTTAGATAGAGGTCCTGGAACAACTGAAACTAATGTCACCTCTTTAACATTCTCTCCAGGAAGAAATAAGGAAGAGAATGTTGGGGTGCAAAATAGCGCAATGCCATTATAAAGAAGCATTCAGTAATACAAAGCAATCTTCATATCTAAGTGATAGTGCAAAGAGCATTGTTTTGTTGAGATTTTTAGTAACAAACTTTACCCAACAAATTATGTTCAGCAGGGCTTCACTGTTTCCTGTTCATGGGACAAGAGAGAGAAAAGAGAAAATTTGAGTATTGTGTGTTTGGGGGAGAAAAGAAAAGTTAAATCAAAACTGGATTCTCTATGGTCTTTGATTTTGATACTAGGTTTATAATCAAGAAGAAATAATTCCAACTCCTTCCTCATGAATCTGAGTCAAGGAATGACCATCTAAACACACAGAAAAGATTCAGTTCTGTTCCCCAATCTCTTCCCAGGGGTTTCACACACCTTAATGTTTAAAGCTGGGTTTAGTGAACCAACATGAAGTCTCTTTCAGTGGTAGAGCTTGAGTATTTGTTGATAAAAGTGAATACTTTAGTAAATCCTTACTCTTTCTGAGACAATGTGGAGACTTCTGTGGAATTCCTTCTAAACACTTCTATGCCTGTCAAGCCCCAGGCTTGGGAGACATTTATCAAGTCAGTCAAATGGCCTCACTTATGAGCAACATTTGCTCTCGTACTTAGTGACTGCAGCCAAGAAGCAAATATAGTTACTTTTTCCAAATGCCAATAGTATAATATTTGTACCTATTATAAAATCAATAATAAACATTATGACCTCATCATGACCTCCAGGAATATAGTCTAATACTCAAACCAGTTTAATTAGCTTTTTCCCAACTAAGAGAGTAGACAAAAATTGTCTTTAGCTACTCCCCACTTTTGACCCCCATCCTTCTAGTACTAGCTATCAATATTGTATTAAGTAAAAGGAGAATAATTTTAATGACTGACATGGCTAAAAATGTAATCAAATTATTAGTCATCATCTCATGGATGGTTAGTTGGAAAGAAAGGTACAGAAGGAGGTCACAGGTCCTGCTGCCAGGGGACACTGTCCACAACAGCGAGTTGACCTTGGCTTACAGGGAAGGCAGATGGGAACCTTGTTCAAAAAGGATGATGTTTAGCATATGGGTGATACAATAATCTTTGAGGGAAGGTGGTCATATATCAATTATTTATATCAAAGGATGCCATGCATGTAGAAATTTCTGGAAGGATGCATCAGGGAGCCTCCTTTCAGGGCGTATAGCACACTGAAGACTTGTGAAAGATGAGCAGTTACTGTGGGTTCCCCTTAATGACTTATGATGGCATTTGTCCTTTTCAAACACAGTAATTCGAACCTTTAGAAAGTTTACAGCAGGAAATGCCCAGGTCTCTTATTTGGATTTCTAGATGGACTTATTGACCAAATGAAGGTTGATGTGAAAGGTCTTTGCAAACTGAATACATTGTGTACATTTAAGATAGTATTAGGGTGTCAGTACTTTGGGGATCACTTCATAGAGATTATAAGACTTTTTTTCCCAGAGGCAATGTTTTCATGAACACTGGATAAACTCAGCTCCATCATGTGAAATTCTTATGCTATTTCAGGTTCATTGAGACCATTATCCCAGTTCCAGTTTATTAGTGCTGCAGTGTTCTAAATATCTTGATTTCCCCATGGCTGTTGTGGGCTCTGAAAATAGCTGTAGAGTTTAGACTGCCAAAGTGCACTCTTAATAATTTGAAAACATTGTTGTATAAGTTTCTTAATATATCCATTTCAGTTTGGAAGTAGGTTTTAGGTGACCAGCCAGCAACATCTTTATCAGACGATCTCTTAAGTGGCAGGCACTGCATTTAGAGCTGAGATATCAAACGGCTATATGGACATATATTTCTTATTTCCAAAGTATTTTATAATTTTCAAAGCAAAATATTTGTCCTTTTATTAATTTGTTATTTTATATGATAATAGAAATGTAATTACTATCTTAATTTGGAATGGTCACTGTTATTGTCTAGAAATACAATTGATTTGTCTAAATTGATATATTCTGCAACTTTGCTGAACCAATTTGCTAGTTTTTATCATCTTTAGTGACTTTTTTTGCTAAGTCTGTTTA